CATCTCTTCTGATCACCTTGCAGCTGTTTCTTAACATTTAAAAGCTTCAAGATTTGATGGATTTCAATTGTTATCATGCTTGTAGCCTTTTCATATTACTCATCGCAATAGGCTTCAAGCTCTTCAAAAATGCTTACGTATAATCACTATTGCGTATTAGTTTGCAAGAAACTTTATTTTCCACAGGGATTCTGTCGAATTTATAGACTCGTATATCCCAATTACATCTTACAAAATCGTTCTCAAAATAGAGAGCTCTGTTAGGATTTGTCTAAAAAAGGCTCATAACCACCTTCCACAATTCTCATTGTTAACTTCTTATTATTGTTTCCTCGGTGCCTCCGCGCCTGATCATTGGCGCCCACTCTCTTGCCATACTCGGTGAACCCTAACCCTTCTCTTAGGGTTCTTAACCCTAGTGTGCTTTACACTAAGCGAAAAAATACAAGCATCCTATTGAAATTATTATGCAGGTAACACCTGACATGTTTCGTCATAAATAACGAATCGATGTCTAAACGATTAACTGTGCGTTTTACATGAAAATGTTAATGACATTTTAACTCTTTGAAGGGCGGTGGTTTCCTACAGTAACCACCTTTTCTATTGAACGTCTTACTCATTCGTTTGAGTGGTTTTCAAGAATGGCCGTTTCTGTAGTTCCCTTGTAGCTCACTAGATGGCAATAAAAAAACATAAGCCAATCAAGAAACATAAGCCAGTAGTTGATGGAGCAATTCGTCTTCAAGAAAATAAGCATCAGCCATCGAACACAACCTCACGACGATGTGTTGCAGCACCATGAAAAAGCCTGTAAGAACAATATGGGAATGCAGCACATGCAAAATTGCACGCTGCTTGAAAAAGAAAAACTGTTTTCATGAGTACATAGAGACTGACACCACCAGAAGTGGTCATTGTTTTCACGCGTCTTGGACAAAATATGTGTAATTGTCGCATATAATTTCATTGTAACATCTGATATAGTAAGTAAAACAAGAGTTTTGTTGAAAAAGTTAATTTCCTTTTCCTGCCCCTCAAAGAGTTAAGAATAATAAACTGAAACAAAATAAGATATAATTTTTGCTCAAAAGAATATCAGACTAATAAGTTGAAAGAAGTCATTTTACAGTTTTATAATTAATTAACAATTTTAATATAGGTAACTTCATACAGATAACACATCTTCCCTTTTATAAACGTTTTTAGACTATATTTTTCACGAAAAATTACTAATACAACTTTATAAAAGAGATTAATTAAATAAGGATATTTAATAGCTAACTACATAAGTGTAAGATTTTATTAACTGTTACATGTAGCATTAGGTTTTTCTTATTTTCATTTCTTAAATGCTTAATTTTCCTTCTCGCTTTGTCCAGCAAAAGTGTGTTAACCAATTCAAAAATATGAAATACTAAAAATGTTCCTCATGTCTTCTTGAGCTCACAGTCATTGCGTCAGTATAGAATGATAAATTTTAAAGCCTAAAATACTCATATCTGCGACGTTATAATTATGGGATGATTTGCATATTCTTTATTTTTTATCTTGGTGCTTGCTATGACGATGCTTAAAAATTGCGGAATTTTCAAATTATTTTCGAACTATGATGTTTTCTTCTCGCTTTTTCTTCCACGACCTTTCCTTGCGTTGCTTCCTCCGGGACGTTTTCATCCGCGATGTTTCCAGTGGACATTTTTCATATTATTCAAATGAATTTCAACTTTTATATTTTGCAGAAATTGCAAAAATTTGTTACATCTTCCAGGATGTAAAGTAGAATTTGAAGGGTCTGGATGCAATTTAGAGTAGAATGCCTTTCAATCGGCAACAGCGGGACTGCGCTGATTCCGGGTCAATGATTTTTTCGGGTAATTGAATATTGTTGCGAAATGCGGTGAGATAGCTGATCGGCAGGCTTAAGGTTTCCAGAAATTGAGAGATGAAGGTAGGGTTGCCAGATTTGGCGACATATCGTAGACGGAGCGAGAACAGTCTAGAACACATTCTAATTAGTTTTTCCGAGAATGTTCTCGAAGGTAGATTAAAGCTGTATATATCCTACTTGTGCGGAGAAAGGAGTGTCTTCAGGTCAGAGATTAGCTTGAGAAATTGATGATGACACTTGATGAAGAATCAAAACACAGTTTATTCTCCCGTATTACACAGGACAAGACACGTTTACAGTCGTCGAAAAACTATGATAAACACGCTAAAACAAGCAGCAACGCAGCTATCACGGAGAAGACAGCTTCACGGCAAAAGCACTAACGTACAGTGCCCGACTTCGTCGATCGCTCTCATACTAATAACTGAACTCAAGACTCTACTCTCTCCCATGACAGGAGGGATATACATAGCTTTAACCTATCTTCAAGAGCGCTAAAACGGCGCTCCTTCCATGGCATTTGCAATTTTATCGCCAAATATCGCCAAACAGGCGATATTGTGCCAAATCTGGTAACCTCCAACCTTTTCTGGCAACCCTAACCCGCTTTGTGGGAAGCGTTCTCACCGCAGCTTCAGGGCTCTCTTTCTTTAGCCCTGCCGCAGCCTGGGCTTTTCGCAACAATACAAATGTTTCAGATTATTAGTCTATTATGTATTTTTTATATCTCATAAGCCTAAATTTCGGATTCACTTCAAAAGTGTCGCTATTTTGGTATAACTGGGTGTCGGCTCCGTATTCCTCACAGCCGACACCTCATTTACTGTATTTTGTTTTCCCTCGAAATTTTAATATTTTTGAACGCCATTTATTTATTTAAAATATTTGAACGCCAATAAATCCCAAAAATTAAACCTTTATCTGATGCTATTTCAAATTTTAAAGTTGTATGAATTTCAGTAGAAAAACAGTGTGATCACCTATCTTAAGCGGAAAATTTTTCTGAACAAGCGCATTGATCTCGGGTAAAATAATAAATGCTCAGTAGATAATGAAAAAAAAAAAAAAAAAAAATTTTGAGGTAGCGTTAAATAACTATTCTTAGATATTAATATCTAGAATTAAAATCATTTTCTGTAATGATAAGCAACTTTTGATAAGATAGCAGAATGTAAGAAAAGAAAATATTAACAAATCTTTTCCACTTCAAATTATTTTAGACTCTCTGTTGGTCCCCTCTCAAACTGTTTTCTCTATTACAAGTAGACAATGAACTGACTGAAGTTTTCTACATTAAAAGAAAAGTCACGTTCGGTTAACAATTATAATCTTCATCTTCTAACAGTATTTAAATTATGTCAATTTTGGTTTACTATTCGAAATGTAATCTTCATCTTCTGTTTTACATAATATATCGAGTATCTACATGATATATCTCATTAATACGTTTTTAGCTCCTTCAATTAGATACTGTTACATCAACATTGTATCACACATTTAAAATCAGTGTTCGAACCACACACACGTTCACATATAGGAAAAGAAGATGAATTATAATAATGCTCGTCACTCGAAAAATAATCCAGCTTTCATTTTGAAATGATCAGTGTATCAAGGTTCAGAATGATTTCTGTATCTTATCTCCTATAATTTAAATACATTGAATAGCAATTGTAATATAGAAATTATAGATTAAAACTTTACTGAGTAGGACACCGAAGTCCAATCATGACCGTGTAACTAATCGCAAAATACCAGTAGTTCTTGATAGGTTCTGTTTATAGTAGCAAAACGGGCTAACTGTATGGGATTTCTATTGTGTTTATCCTAATGGTTTAATGTAAATACTAGCCAATTCCACTTAGTCCTTCAAAGCAACCCTTTCTTGAGGAGAACATTTTAACGTGCTTTGTCATAAATAGCTTACATAACAGTGAAAGAAAATTACTTAATTATTACAGGATAGAATTATTCAAACAGAAAAAAGTCAAAACACACTGTTGCTCTAACCGAATAATTTTAAAGCTAACACATTTTGTTACTAATAAAAGGAGCATAAAAAATGAAGACAAGAATGTAATAACTGGATCATAGTTATGAAAGAAAGATTTTAAATTTCTGTAAGTAAAAGTAAGTAAAGGGAAGTAATAAGTGTAAAGGGAAAGTAAATGAAGCCTCTATCAAAAACAGTAGCTGTTCAGGGTTTTCATTAATTGAGTGAGTTCACAACTCCAAAGTTTGTAAATATGATTGAATACTATTACACTTCTAAATTTCAAACAGAAAAATTACACATTTCAATAAATAAATAAATAAAATAAAGGTAGAGCGACAAAGTTTCCTCTACCATCTTTAGATTTCTACCGAAATTTTTAAAGCGAAAATAGGTTACTGATTTTTCTTCCACAAAATTATAGTTCTGGGGGGGGGAAGAAATACTTACTCCAACTCTGATATTCTTATTCAGGGTTTTCACTTCTCTCCTTAAACCTTCGGTGAGCGCGCGAACCATGTGTTTGGTGCCACAATAAAAATGAACTCCGGCAAGTGGAAAGTTTGGTAATCTATGGCCGCCGATGCTGTATAAGAAATAAATAAGCAAATAAATAAATAACTAATTCTTCATGTAATTATCTTATAAATATTAAAATGATTTTTAAGGTATAAGTGCTTCCACCTTCCTAGACATACCTATCTAGAAATGGTTTAATTTTTTCAAAACCTGATTTACACAACTGACGTTTTAAACCTGAAACAGTTAAACCATTCTTCTAACGGTTTTTTTTTTTTTTTTGCTTTTCTCTCCTTTTTTCTCCTCTTTTTTTTTTTTTTTTTTTTTTTTGTGTGTGTGTGTGTGCACAGAGCTTCTTTCCTTTTGTACCAATTATTAGACCTCTTGGCAGCGACTGCATACACATCAGAAGTTTCACGCTTATCGATTACCACAGCATAGAATTATTTATTAAAACTCATCACTCACTATAGTAGTAGGCTGAAAGTCGCTGAAGAGGTCTCGAAACATTTATAGCAATAAATCAGAAAAAAAAAAAAAAAAAAAAAAAAAAAAAAACCTGCCCACAGATACTGGCTACCGTATGCGTGAGGGCGTATATTGGAAGAACAAGGGCAATAACATACAATGAAAAGCCCGCACTAGATATATCTGCAAATATCGATTTATTATCATGTTTTTTTAATTTTTGATCGAAAGTTTGTAACTAGCATTTCATGCATTTTCTTTGAATTATAAAAAAAAAAAAAAAAATCTGAAGACCTTCGGATTTTATATTATACCCAAAGGGCCGTATTTTCATTTTCCCATACATTCGCATTTTGAGAGCATTTGGGGGTAAAATTCCCTTTGGGCTAAAAATATTTAAAAATATTCCGTGCAGTGTTTTGCCACTGCTAGCTTTGAAATCGTTGGTGTTTAATAAAAAATTCGTTAAAATTTTAAAAATATGTAATAGATAATATAACAAATTCGAAAATCAAGATTCGAGCTTCCAGGTGCCCATATGGACACATAATGAACTACGTGGAGGACTACGTTATTCAAAATTTGATAACTATAGTTATCGTTGTTTTTCCACAATGCGAAAAACATGTGCAAACATTCATACAGATTCTTCATTATTTAATTTCTTTAAATAAAATACAGCGCAATAATATCTGGCGGTGACAATTTGGAAAGTGATGCACCATTTATAGTGATTCAACGCAAAATCCCGTTTCAAAACTAATAGCCTTTGTGGGCTAACGTCTCTTTGGGTTAAAAAGAAGAAAAATCTGCATACAACATGGACCAGTGTGAGTGAGAGGTCAAATCAGAGGATTAAACATGACTTTTGTAAAAGCACGCGCTTGTAATATTTATGCAACGCCGTGAATGGTTAAATTTTTATTTCACAAATGTTTAAGAAACCAAGAGTGCAGTACTTTTGTTGCTTACTTGTTTCGAAATGCCCCTTAGGTCTCTTGAGTAAATTAAGCTTCCCACAGCGCCTACGGAATCGATAGCACCTATGATGAGAAATCATGAATTAAACTAACTATAATGCTTCAAATTAATAGCTCGTGACATTTCATTTAAGTTGTATTAACAATTAGTTTATGTCGATTCTTGCCTTTAAGTTTCGTTTCGTTATGCACTCGCTCAGTCTAGAGGGTAACGCAGATTTAATACATGGGACATAGTTTACGATGAGAAGAAGAATCGTAACCTGCAGTATTAGGGAATTGACTTTTGTCGCTACTTGCCTAGAGACACAGAATGATCAGAATAGACGACAACTCCTGTGAGTAGCTCCAGCTTTGTCTGACTGACAAAGTTAATGTTGTAGCTCTACGTAAATTCACTGAAAGTTTATCTCGGTTAATATGTTGTAAAATTCCAGCAGGCTTTCGTTGTCAAGCAGATTTCCTTTTGTATTGAGTTATTCTGAATTGCTCTCTGCAGCTGTGAGGAAATAATATTAACTTTTACACTTTCTGTTTCATTTTGTCTCTGCGCTCAGAATTTAGCAAATGCAGTAATTTACAAATTCATAAAAATATAATGCGTTTCCCAAATAAAATAATACTTTTCCTAGATAGATCGGAAATAATTAATTAGGTAATTAGACACCCTTTGTAGAAGTAATTAATTAGGTAGTTAATTTTGTGTTGTCATTATAAGTTAAACAGCTTTAAGTATAATTCAGTATGTTTTCATTAGACGTTCATTACTTGAAATTAAAGACTAAACAAGATGCAATCGCATTATATTTTTTAACACTTTTGACATATCTGCCATTTCCGTTACTTTTCGAGGGAAGCATTTCAGGAAGTATGTCTTTAGGTCCAATTAACTACATTTCCCGTAATGTTTATTTCCCCACTAGAAGATGTCTACGAATGTCAGAAGGGATAGATTATTTAATTATAGACTTCAGATCCAAAAAATTCTGTAATTATACTTCGAAGCTAATCTGGACACACATGTAAATAATACAAACTTCCATTTGTCTAACGCTTATATGGAAAAGTCACTTGATAAATCTGCAAATGCTGATGACATCCACATTTTTGTTATGGAAAAGATAAATTGATTCAATGATTTACTTTCCATAATATATAAAGGCTTAATGTTTTTAGCTCCGAAAGTTTAAGAGAAGCTAGGAATTTGGAATTTTCACCTTAATTTATAGAATTCTTATTTTTGCTGACCTGATAAAAGAACAAAATGTTAAAATGTGTTATATCTACCTGCTTATGTGAATTATTTGCCCATCGTCTATTTCTTTCTCTTTCATAAGTTTGATGGATTCTCTAGAGCAAATACAAAGAGCCAAAACATTCACCTGCAATACAAGAAATGTAAATTTAAAGCTTTTTCATGTCAAGGAGTGTTGTAATAGGTATTTTGCTTTTATAGCATTAGTTCAATGTGATGACAATGATTACAATATCTCAAAACGTGTAACGATTAAAAAAATCACGCAATGAAAAAACATCATTTCATACATTTCATTGTTAATAACTGACATACATTAACTGACATACATTTCAGTTGTTAACTGAAAGACGGTTTTCAATGTTCTCGATTTATGGTTTATAACACTATGATAATCTTGTTATAGTGTAAAGGTACACATTGCTGTTATTGGTACTTATGTATGCGCATGGTTGCCCGAGTTAGGTACATTCTAAAAATTTGGCGACAACCACCTTAGTCGAAGTCGCCAAATTTTTAGAATGTACCAAACTCGGGCAACCATGCGCATAACCATTCTTCGGGCAACCATGCGCATAACAGTCCTTCAGTCAAGCAACGCAGGGATTTTCCTATGCTTTCTTTTTTGTTGTATTCTAAGTTCCAATTATTTTTATAAACAAGTCATGATATTTTTTGTCTTAAACTTAGTTTTAAAATATGAGCTTGCGAAATTTGCCAGTAATGGAAGAAACTGCGGTAAAATTTTTGCCGGAATACAGAATTTTTCTGAAAATTTTCTAAAGGGAAGAATGAGGAAATGCGTTTCCTAGATAGTTGCTATTGCCAAGGTTTGCACGAACCTGAATCTCCGTAATTCTTGGATGTTTTTTAAGCAAAAATATTCCGGAAAAGAATAGCGCAAAAAGAAATTACCGAAAGATTTAAAAAGGAATTAAGTGTTTTTAATTTTTGATTTATCACGTAATGCTTATTTAATAGTTTAAATTTGTATTTTAAATTGATAAAGTATTTTTTAATGATATGATAATATTTACCGACTTACTGTAAGCATCGATAATTTGGGGATCTTTCTAAATAAAAGGCGCGAAATCGATCATTTTACATCCGATAAGGAATTTTTACTTTTTCATCCGTAGAAAATAGCCAAGGCGTTAATAAGTAAGTACCTAACTATTTCGTGCTACGTGTTCATAGAGAGCACCTTAAATAACCACGCGAAGAAAACAGCAAAATCTGAAACCTTATTTCAGCTTAACATGAACAACAGCTTTACAGGCAAGATTAGGAGCTAAGGATAACTTAAGACGATCACATAAAATAGCTGAAAGTTTTCCTAACACGTACGGAATATCGCAGATCTCGAAAATCGCTCACAGTTGCAAAGTCTAAAGCAGGAATCACCGAGCAAGAAGTTTAGAAGTACAGACATTTGCAACAAAGCCTCAGCTCAGCTGGTTCACATCCTTCTATAAATGTTATTGTTGAAGGGAGAGAGAGAAGGCACTTTTGGAATTTTGCACGAAAACGGTTTCTAGGACTTTGAAACGCATCTTTTGGAAGCTTCCATAATGTCACAATGCTGGCGAGAAATTAATAAATATCACGAACTTGGCGACAAAGGATGTCACCAGTTTCTGCTCAAATCTCTACTTCAGCTTAACGGATCTCCACAGTTCTATCAGCCGTTGAATCAGAGTTAAAAGTTTTAAGATACTATTCGAACTAGACATATGCAAACAGAATAATGTTGTCACGAATCCAAAGTGAAGCCCACCAGCGGCCGAGTGGTAAAAGCCGCTGAACACTGGTAGTTCGGTCAGGGGTTCGAATCCCGGCGAACGGGCTCGCTGCATGGGCGTTTTCGTGGTTTTCCCCATGTGTAACGTGGATACGAGCCAGTTTCCCTTAAAAAGACCTCCACGGGCATCCCTCCCTTTCGGCCTAAGGTCGGAGCACGTAATAAGTAAAAATAAGTAAAAAGAATCCAAAGTGAAATGAGATGCACGATCAACAAAAAATTACCGTACAAAAAGCGCCAAATAAATAAATAAAATCGAAAGCAACGAATACACAAAATGCATGAAAAAGTAAAGTCAAAATTACAAATAAATAAACAGAACGCTGATATGAATTTATAATAACTATAGGTACAATAAAAATGACATTCAAGAAAACTTTAAATCCTAATTTTATTTTTCTTGCATTGAAAAATATTGCAGTGATTACCATTCTTGTCTGATTGGAAATACATTTAACCAAACAACCATGATGTTGCAACATATAATTGTTTGAATTTATTATTAATTTATTAATTTTATTATATTAGTTGTAAGGCATTCAAAAAGAATACTCACCTTTGATGCGCTAACAGAGTTTATCAACACACTTTGTTTTGGTTGACAAACCAACATGCAAATCATCTTTATGACGCACCTGTCACCTTCCGTATTTCATTCTGCTATGTTCGATGTAGTGATGTAAGCTTTCCTACAAGTATGGCGTTGAAAATGAAAGGAAAGTTTTAAAGTGTATATTTAATTTCCGAAATCAAGCAACACTCCGTGGTGCTAACTGGCATATCAATAGAGAACTTATCAGTTAGATATGAATATCATTATACTCTTGTTTGAGGTTAATAAGTATAGGAATCTGTTTCTAATAAAACGCCAGATCCTAATTTCGAAAGTAAAATATAAGCATTATAAACTTCATATTACGTTTAGTCTCAGCAATAACTTTAAAGCAATAGCTTAAAAATCCAATCAAATGCATATTATCTTTTACTCAAAGAACATTTTTTTTTTTACACTCAGGTTAAATCTAATAGTGTACGTTTCTTGTTATTAAAACTGTAATTAATACTTCATTGTAGATAAATTTTCATTATAATCAGAAATTTTGTGCTACTTAATGCGGAGCAGGGAATGGCAGATCTTGTTGATTTATGTTTTTGTTCCTTGCTGATTGAATAGCCGACTAAATGTCCCCAATACCTGAAAAATTAGTTTAGAAAGAGCTCTTTTCAAGAGCCCGGAGGCTCAATAGCCTAGATGTGAAACATCAGGAAACTTCGCAGGAACACACTGGAAAGTTATAAGTGCAATACCTGTATCAGACTTCATTTTGTTCAAGGAATTCAGTGGTACATTTCGAAGCATGACTTGTTGATTTATTTTGATGAACTTTCCCATTTTGAAAGTCATTGGGAATAAAGAAATGGAATTTCTTTCGTAAGTATGGGACTTTTTATTCCTTCAGTACGTTGAGTAGATTTTTTTAATACTTTTTTCATTCTTCTTATTTTTAACTTTCCATTGTAAAAGAATCCTCCAATGATCATAAATACTTTGCTGAAACTTTCTTTGCATTGAAGGAACCAGATTTGTCATTTTTTCCCTCTTCGTTATCGATGATAAATAAGACTTTATTTTGTTGCAGTAATTTAAGTAAACCAATTCTATTTATCTCCTGATAGATTTGATACAGCGTTCTATAAATTGTTCTGCGTAAGACCTTGTGTAAAAGTAAGAATTCACCTTCGCTCAACGGCTGTCTAAGATCAGAACCGAATCGTATCGAAAACATTCCTCTATTAATTATAATATTTTATCAGAACGAAACTGGTGAGTTTCAGGTATAAGAAGTTTTTTTAAAGCTATATGTGACCAAAAAAAAATCAAAATTTCCTTAGATTTATATGGTTATATGGTGATAAGATTATAAGTTAAAGAAAAAATTATCGTCTCGGACGAGTAGTGTTTGGACTTACGAGCAAATACTACTCTTCCTGCTGGCTGCAATTCTCGATTTCCATTTGAATACAATTTTTGTAAGTTAGTTTTCCTGTTTTGGTTTTTAGTTAATGTTTAGACTATTAAAAAAGAAGAATGGCGAAGATGCGCCAGCTCTCCGTCCTGAAGTAGTTCATCTGTTTTATTTTGACTACTTAGGTGGATATCTGCTTTAATTTGATTGCTTATTCTTTTTCTTTTATGGAGCACTGACTGAATGAACGAAATTCAGATAGAGTGCCGCAGCAATGTCATTCTCTCTCTCTCTCTCTAAGTATTTTATCTAAGTATTTTTATTTTTAAGTATTTTATCATGTAAAAAATGACTGACCTCTAATATCTGTCGCCATTGGTTGGTATCTCCAGTCAGTAGAGGTGCATCATGGCTCATTCCTGCGTTATTGATGCACACATCTACGCGATCAAACTTTTGCCGGATCTCCTGGAACATGGAGAGAATCTCGGATTCTTTTGTAAGGTCACACCTGGAAAAGAATGGATTGTAGTCAGTTTAAAATTTAATCGTTTACGAACAAGAAGGCTATGATTTATGAAATACAAATTAATTCAATACATTTTATCGAATATTAAAGTAGTGTAATATCGATGATGGCTTTAAATGCAATATCTTCATATCTTTTTGAAGTTAACGAATTGGTTTGAAATCAGATTTGAGAGACCATATGATGCGAATATCTCTACACCAAAAGCATATTTTTCATCATCAACGAAAGGAAAACCGATTGAGAAAAATATACTGAAATTTTTGGTTTGAAATCAGTGCCAAACTAAGGGTGTATTGTGTTTATTTCTAAAAATGCATTTCGGACTGCTGTAAGGCAGTTTTCTCTTATTAACCAATTGTATTTGTTCGCTTTTCTTTCTGCTATCTTTCGTTATAACCCGTTGCTAAAACAATATAAATATCGATGATTTATTAAAGAGGGTATTAGGAACTTGACTAACTGAATATTTTAAACTTCTCATACTTCCTGAACATTTTGAATATACAAACAAATGGAGTTCTGCTTTCACAAACGTTTCGCTGTGAAACGTGCAAAATTCAAGAAAGAAACGCCATCTGTTGAGCAAAACTGAAAGGAAAAGAAAACAGCAAAAATAAATTCATTGTTACCATTTTCCAATGAGATTTATGTCTTTGTTATATAACGTATGGGAAAGAGAAAACCATCTTCGGTATAATTTATTTCTGGGGAAGAGAGAAACAGATCAATTGTCTCTGAAAAGGAAATGTGGTTTTACACCATGTTAAAAATACCGTTTCTCGTCCTATCCCCTAAGTTTGCAAATACAAAGTAAAGTTTAATTTTAGAGAAATACGGCTTAGAGAAATATTGTGAACTTTAGGAAATGTACAGATATTAATGAAACTTAAGCAATACTTACTTAATAGCAATAAGTCTACCTGCGGCAGTTCTGACCTCTTCTTCTTCAGCAATAGCTTTTATTTTTTCCACATTTCTTGCGCAACCAACAACCACCATTCCTTGTTTTACGAGCTCCCTGCATATCCCAGCTCCTATTCCGGCCGATGCGCCGGTCACCAAAGCGACGCGACCTCTCCAGCGTTCCATTTAGAACAAATATACGAGGAGCTTCTAGCAATGTGAAATCCACTTATGAAACGACACTTTGCTAGTGGGGAAGAACAAACTTCTTTTCACAAAAATATGACCTGTAAGCGTTGATAACGTTTACAGCTTTGATAAACAGTGATTCGACATTAGTTTATCTCAATAAAGATTCTTTTGTGATTCCATCTACTAGCAAAAAAGCAAAAAGAGTCGAGCTGCTTTTATCTTCACAAAGAATAAAACTGAATACATTGCAAAATATCGTTGGAGACAGTGAAAATTCTTATTCGTGTTTACTGTAAAACATACCTAATTGCCACAGCTGTGTCCAACTACTGCTGGTTTCGTATAAACAGTATATAGTCTTATAAAAAAGTAATAAATATAGTTTTGATTTCTTAAACTAAATCTGTAAATTCTCATGAACCTTGAATAATTGTTTCAAAACAAGGAGAAGCTCCAAGATTCCTGCGTTGAACTCCGCACATAAAGCAGGTTGTTTTTAAAACACCGGAGAATAGTAGCACGAAAGTTTTGATAGTTTTATTTATCTTAAAAAGCGCTTTCTGAGTGTCGAGTCACGATAGTAAGTGCTACTGAGAGTTAAACATTCAAATATTAACAATTTGTGTACGTATAAGGTACACTGGTTATTATAAATTAAGGAAAATTCACAAAAATAGCGATAACTCCCTCAAAAATAAGCCAAACCGTGTAAAATTTGAATATGTTGCCATGTAAGAGTATCTGAGTAAAACTGCAATATGTAAATTAGTGGCATACTACTCAGAATACATCATCTGTGAGGAGCATAAAAGTCCATGTTTGAGAGCAAGCCCACATATTTCACTGTGATAGTGATATCAGAAATCTGAGATAGCCAATTCGTAACAATGATCTCCAGGCATCATTTGCCTACACAACTACGACAGAAAGCCATTGGGAGACTAGACGCAGGACAAAGTCAAACAGAAGTGGCCAGATAGCTAAATGTAAGTCCTTCTGTGGTTCATAGACTTTGGAGGCAATTTCAAATCACAGATTCGGCACCTAGGAGGTTCCGCCAAGGACGGCCAACTGCTACGACGTGCGCCGATGACCGATATTTGACATTATGTGCACTCAGGAATAGAACCGCTACTCCGACTCTTCTTAGATCCTCCCTTGCTGCAGCCACCGGAAGGTTGGTGTGAACGTCAACTGTGCGTAGCAGGCTTCAAGAAGGTGGTCTGTATGCGAGGCGAACAACCATTTGCTTGCTGCTCAAGTCACGCCATAGGAGGGACCGTTTGCAGTGGGCAAAACAACATGTCCACTGGACGCCTGAGCAATGGAGGGCTATTCTCTTTACGGATGAGTCTAGGTTTAGTCTAGAACGCGATAGTAGGAATTATTTGATATGGAGAGAACCTGAAACCCGTTATCATTCGTCAAACATCCGTGAAAGACATGCATAAGGAAGATGCAGTGTCTGTGTTTGGAGTGGCATCTCTATGGGTGGACGCACAGACCTACATGTTTTTCCAAGGGGAACCGTGAATGCTCATATTTATAGAGATGACATCCTTGATGCTTATGTACGCCTATATGCCGGGGCAATAGGTGATGCTTTCCTGTTACAGGACGACAATGCAAGACCACACAGGGCTCGCATCGTATATGATTATCTTCAACAGGAAACAATTAGGCGCATGGAGTGGCCAGCTCGATCCCCGGACTTGAATCCTATCGAGCACGTTTGGGATGCTTTAGGGAGACGTTTAGCTGCTCTCAGTAAGCCCCCTTAGACCCTTGCCGCGCTTGCAACTGCTTTGCAAGAGCAATGCTCTCGCTTCCTATGGAACTGATAGACCGCATAATTGAAAGCATCACACATCGCTGAATGTGCTGCATTGCTTCTAGAGGCGATTATATTCCATATTGAAGGTACTTTTACTACAGCAAACTGACACCTTCGATTTGTTCATTTTATACATATGCTAATTTCTATACTACCATAATTGTATGGTAATTTCTTTTTATGTTATTTGATACCTTACTATGGGTTGTATATTGTGGGCAAGTTTCATAAAATTCTATATGTAACTTTTTCAGTAATCGCGATTTATGTGATTTTTCTTTAATTTACAATAACCAGTGTATTTCTCCCGCCTTCTTACTGTTCCTTCGTGGTGTAGTGGTCTGCATGCTGGGCGCGTATTCCAGAGGTCCGTGGTTCGATTCCCGGCGAAGGCGTTGCCCATTTTTCATGACTCCTGCCTCCAAAAATAACCTAATGTCTCTACATATGTATTTAGCTGAAAACGTATTCATTGGTCAAGCATTGCTGTAAATATTAAAACTGCAGTAGTTTGCTTGTCCATTGTCTCAAATTCTCCCAAATCCTCTTTTATTTCTTCGCTTCACTTCGACGAAAGCATGGCCATTCAGAAGCCAGAACGTAAAATCACTGAACACTGGTACTTCGACTCGAGTTTAAATCCTGGCAAACAGGCTAAGAGAGTTTTAGTAAGGTCGACAACTGCAAGAAAATTTCGGTTTTTTAGTTCATAGCGGGAGCAGTTTAAACTGTAATTTAACATTTGAATATGTGCATTAACAGCTCAGTCTTACAAATATCTGATAAACGCATTTCGAACGATGGAAATGTATATAAACCAAATATGATATTTTTATTAGTCCAAAGGGGCTTTGTTGCTTGCTTTTGTTTCGCGATTTTGCGTTGAAAACTTTTAAAGGTTGTATCACTTTTCAAATCGTTGCCACCAAATACTATCGTCTTGTATTATATTAAAAGAAATCAAATAATGAAGAATCTGCGTAAATGCATGTATGTTTCTCGCATAGTGATAAAGCAACGGTACCTAGAGCCATCCAGTTTTGAATGACGTAATCCTACTGCAAATATGGGCATCTGAAAGCCCAAATTTGAAATTTGGAATTTGTTTTATTATCGATTTTATATTTTGTAAAATTTACGAATTTCTGATTAACAAACTCAACCATTTAAAAGCGAGCAACGGCAACACTCTACGGAGGAAAAAACTTTTTTATCTCCAGGGCGCGGAACTAACTGTGTATCCGAAATTCTAAAGATAGGTTCATTTTGAAATTATTTTGCGACATTGCTGTTGAACTTAATTTTATGGTTTAAGTGAAAAGAACATGATATTTAATAAATAAAGGTAACATACAAAACGTTAAAAATGCGTTCCTTTGGACGCAGTTTAAAATATGCGGACATTGATGTGACTTAATTTTATGGTTTAAGTGGAAAAGAACATGATATTTAAAAATAAAGGTTAACATACAAAACGTTAAAAATGCGTTCCTTTGGAGCAGTTTAATTACCTTAGTTTTTTATTATATTTTATTACTTTCTTTACTTTAATTTCTTATATTTTTACTATCCCTTTCATCATTCTGTTATTTCGTACGAACGGTTGATCTATCGTGTTATAAAATTGTCGCTTAGCAACACGCTATGCAAGCAAATGTAACTATCATACTGTAAACGCCAGTTTGGGATTTTAGTCAGTCGCGTGAATGGCAACGATTAACATTGAGTATATTTTTACATCGAAGCTTAGCCTCCGTTGTAATAAATATGAAAATTTTACTAGTAGCACGTTTTTATAGTTTAATAAATTTTATGAAGAAACTCAAATGTGGGGTGTGATGAGACTATCACTTATCATAGAATCCAGCCTCATCTTAGCATGGAGTACTTTTCTGCATTAACTAATCCAGATATCTTGATATTTACGTAATTTTTGCGTTTAGCCACTTTATGGCTAACTTAAAAAGTTTGTTATTTGGTTTGTCTATTGATAAAAATTCAAATGCGTTTGTAAGACGTTTTTATTCTTCCTAGAGTTTAGCGTGAATTTAGTTATGCTTGTGCCACTATTAGATTTAATCATTAGTGCTTCAGTGAACTGTTGGTATTCGATGTTGGAAGATAAATGGTAAAATTTTGTTACACTTAGATTTAAGTAAAAGAGAACCTTTGAAGATTTTCAATTGAGTGTAGTAGAGAAAACTTTCTATATCCTATAGAGAAAATAATTAAAATTAATATAAAAATTGTTTTTGTTATAAATATTTTATTAGCTTTTTTCAAATATAATTTAACTCAGAAATTAAGGTAACATCTCTTTTTAAAAATTTATAATTAGCAGTCCTCCAAACACCTGTTTTTAACTAAACAGAAACCAAAGAATACACTCCCGTCTTTATTTAGCTCGCAGAATTATTACGTTTCATATAGCACGTTCGAGGTAAGTGAGAGATTGGGTCGGCATTCTTGATAGACATTTTGCAGGACAGGAAGTTTCTTATAACTTTGAAAGTTTGTAGAAGATCTGGCTTCAGAGGAAACCAGTCTTATGCTTGCAAAAGAAAGATAAAAGGCAATAATGAGAGTCTTTCAAACCAAGAGCTTGACGTGATTCTTCATAATTTTCAGCAGCAATGGAATTACCCAATTCAAGTCAGTTAAATTTTCATGCAGACTAAACAAAATGATAGGTAGAAGTTACTTTCTTCCCTAAAGAAAAAACATGCATACTCACTGAAGACAAAACTCTGAAAATATCTGACTCATCCTCACAAACATGATCATAACATGAGCAAATCTACCCAATAAGGTTGCATACCAGAGTGACACGAAGCATTACCAGTTCAGAACTATTCCCTATTTGCTCAGCTCAGAGTTTGTCCATGTATGAAAAATAAATACATTCATGGAAATGCTTATGTATCACTCAGTGATATGCATTAATACGAAATGTATTAATTATTTTGTTTTCTTACTGAAGCAAAAGGGGGAAGATTGGGCTGTACGGATACTAGATTATTAAATATGTCAGATTATTGGACTAAACTACGCAATGCTTCAAAAAGATACTTTTTCTGTTGATAATGCCCCTCAAATTGATAAAATTGTTATACATCATTCTGAAAATATATTAATAGTAAAATATATTCACAGTTTAATTATAATTAATAATTTTTTATGATTATTATTACTGTCAGTGAATGAAAGCTTTCCAAATAATGTTCGAATGTTGCCCT